CAGGGAGGGACTAGCTCCTTTGGAAACCTGCCAGTGGTGGGACGCATTGGGAGGAATGGGGGCCAGAGCCCACCCTCCCTCCCTCCTCCCTCAGCTTGGTTTCTCCAAAGCCCCAATTTGGAGAGGAGCTGCAGGTCTTTGTGACGTGGGTGGGGCCGTGAAGATTCTGCATTCAGCCATGCCCAGGTTGGACCTGGGCAGGTGGAGAGAGACGCTGGTGTGGTTGCGGGTTCTGTGTCATGTGTCTGAGCAGTGGGGGTGAGTGAGAGTGGGGCTCTGTGGCTCACAGATTTTGGGGGTTGGGGTTTTTCTGGACAGAGGGGGATAAGTGAGGCGAGGAGGGTGTGTCTGATTTTGGGGAGCCTGGGATCTGCTGACGCCTTGGGGAAAGAACCAGGCTGCTACCGGGAGACCCTGGCTCAGGCAGGCTGAGCCCAAGATGCGTATGGCGGTGGTCAAAGACGTGCTGGTCGTGGTGGAGGGCTCCCTTGTGAGCTTGTCAGGAGCCTTGAACTCGCAGGGACAATGATTTTCTGATTTCTTTGGTAGCAGGGACCACTGACCCTGGGCTGTGTCTGTCTTTTGTGTGAGGATGGGGTCTGTGAACTCCCAGGAGCCCTGTGGATAGGTGGCAGAGGTCCCTGGTCCCTCTGATCCTGTGGGTGAAATTGTTGGGGGTGCACTGTACACAAAGGTGTAGGATTTTTCTAGGAAGAGAATGATTCATCGCTTCCATCAGATACTCAGAGGGACAGGTCTGTGCCCCCCTTTCCTCAAAAACCACTGCTCCCTAGCCCTCTTCCAAGGGCTCCAGTCCTTCGCCTTTTGGCTTTCCCCTATCATATCCGTGGGTCCAAAAGGAGACCCCGTGTGCAGAGGGCGTGCAGGGAGGGTGCTTTTCACGCGGGACTGCCGTGTTGCCACAAGAGTGAAGTAAAAGGAATTGGGGCGTGTGCAGCCCTGCGTGTGTGACTCCACGCATGCACGGGGGTCCTCGGCCTGTCTAGGGAAAGACGAGGTTCCTCCCTCCCTGGTTCTTCCCAACGAAGGTGCTGCCTCCTCCATCTTCCTGTCCCTTCCTCTTCCAGAAGGCTGCCGGGGACAGAAGTCCCCTCTACAGAGAGAGAACTGGTTCCTTCCAGTACAGAGGCTCCAGGGTGGGGGTGGGGTAGGGGACACAATGGAGCAGCCGCTCCGGAGGACGCCTCCACCCCTTCACCCCTTCACCCCAGGATTGGGCCCTGGGGAGAGGGCGAAGGGCCGTGCATGGCAGGCGCGGGTGGCTGATCCACGGTGGGCTTTGCTGCTTCTGTTTGCACCTCCCAGGTCTTCTGGAGGCCAGCTTGGAGGCCCCCCGTGCGCCTCCTTTTCCCAACACTCCGGTCGGAGGAATAGGGACGGTCCTTAAAGTTCTCTTTCTCTCTGGGTGTTGTGCCGGCCGGGCACTTTGCCCACTCCCTCTGCCTTGTCCCCAGGCAGACAGACTCCACCTCAGTGCCAGCACAAAGCTGGGGACGGACCCTGGCACGCTGACTTGGCAGCCAAAACTCAGCCGAGTCAACAAATAAATAGAGTGGCATACGCTCAAGACCAAACATGGTAATTAAAAATTCCCCTGCTCTCCAGGAACGCAAGGCTCAGGCTCCTATTTCTGTCTTGTCGAGTCTGGTGATGGAGGGCCCTGGCCTGCCCCTGGGGAGAAGACCGGTGTTTGGGGGTGGTGCCGAAGGGAGCTGATTTCTCCCGACTCTGGAAGGAGGTGTCCTGGGGGAGGCCTCCTCTGGGACTTGGGGTCAAGCCTTCAGGCCCCAGGCAGGAGAAGAGGCAAGGTGACACTGAGGCCCTCTGTTCTCCAGCCAGTGATGCCAGCAAGAGATGCCCCTAGCCCGTTACCTCAGTGGAAACTGGTAGTTAATGAGGCCTGGGGGGGGGCGTGTACGTTAGCCACCCCGAGGTTCTGCACCACCCCTGCCCTCGGGACCCTTCCTGCCTAGGTAGGTAGCAGGGAGGGAGATGCTGCTCCCATCATCCCTCTTCCTGCCACCCTGGGGGTGTTGCCCATGACTGGGCCGGAGGGCACAGCGTGGATGAGCTCTGGATTTGCAACCCTGGGCGGCTAAGCAGGTTTGCCTCCTTCCCTTTATCCGGGGTTTCCCAAGCAAGCCTGCTGTTTGTTTTATTTTTCTGAGTGGAAGTCTCACTCTGTTGCCCAGGCTGGAGTGCAGTGGCACACCCACAGCCACTGCAACCTCAAGCTGCAGCCTCAAGCTGCAGGCGATCCTTCTGCCTCAGCTTTCCAAGTATGTGGCATGTGGCACCACGTCTGGCTGATTTTTTTTTTTATTTATTGTAGAGACGAGGTCTCGCCAAGTTGCCCAGCCTGGTCTCGAACCCCTGGGCTCAGGCAGTCCTCTCGCCTCCGCCTCCCATAATGCTGGGATTACAGACATGAGCCATTGCGCCCAGCCCCGAACATGCCTATTTTTAAGGGCCACCAAGGGAGCCTGTTAAAAATGCAGATGCTTAGCTGGGCATGGTGGTGCGTGTCTGTAGTTCTGGCTACTTGGCAGGCTGAGGCAGAAAGATTGTCTGAGCCCAGCAGGTCGAGGCTGCGGTGGCCGGGAACGTGCCACTGTCCTCCAGCCTGGGTGACAGAGTGAGACTTCAACTCAAAAAAAAAAAAATGCAGATGCTGGGGCTGTGGCACACACCTATAGTCCCAACCACTCTGGGGGCTGAGGGGAGAATTGCCTGAGTCCAGGAGGTCAAGGCCGTAGTGAGTACTCTAGCCTAGGAAACAAAGGGAGACCCTGTCTCTAAAAAATGAAAACAATTTTAAAAATGCTGGCCAGGCTCGGTGGCTCAGCCTGTAATCCCAGCACTTTGGGAGGCCGAGACAAGAGGATTGCCTGAACCCGCAGGTTCGAGACTCTCCTGGGCAACTTGATGAGACCTCCTCTCTACGATAAATCAAAAACTAGCCGGGCGTGGTAGCGCGCGCCTGTAGTTCCTGCTACTCAGAAGGCTGAGGCGGAAGGATCGCCAGAACCCAGCAGGTCAAGGCTGCAGTGGCCAGGAGTGTGCCAGTGCACTCCAGTCCGGGCAATGGAGTGAGACTCCAACTCAAAAAAAAAAAAAAATGCTGATACTTGGACCCCATCGGACCTATGGAGTAGGGCTCTCCATTCCAAAGGAGAGGACTGGGAATCTGTTTTGTTTTTTTGCTTTTGTTTTTAGTCAGGGTCTCACTCTATCGCCCAGGCTGGAGTGTAGTGGTACGATTGTGGCTACAGAAGCCTCAGCTTCCTGGGCTCAAGCGATCCTTCCGTCTCAGCCTCCTGAATAGCTGGAACTTCAGGCGCACGCCACCACATCCAGTTAATTTTTTTTTTCTTTTAAATTTTTTGTAGAGATGAGATCTCTCTCTGTTGAGCAGGCTGGTCTCAAACTCCTGGGCTCAAGCAGTCCTCCCACCTCAGCTTCCCGAAGTGTTGGATTACAGGTGTGAGCCACCACTCACGACTGAAATCTGTTTTTTTTGTTTTTTTTTTTAGTTGGAGTCTCACTCTGTCGCCCAGACTGGAGTGCAGTGGCTGCTCCCGGCCACCGCAGCCTCGACCTGCTGGGCTCCGGCGATCTTTCCGCCTCAGCCTTCCAAGTAGCTGGAACTACAGGCGCGTGCTACCACACCTGGCTTTTTCTTTTTTTTTTATTTATTTATTGTAGAGATGAGGTCGCACCAAGTCGAACCCGTGGGCTCAGGCAATCCACTCACCTCAGTCTCCCAAGGCGCGGGATTACAGGCTGAGCCACCGAGCCCGGCTTGGTTTTGGTTTTTGAGGGTTAGTCTCACTGTGTCACCCAGTCTGGAATTCACTGGCACTCTCATGGTCAACACAGCCTTGACTTGCTGGGCTCAGGCAGTCCTTTCACCTCAGCCTTCCAAGTAGCTGGAATCACAGGCGCATGCCACCACACCTGGCTAATTTTTTATTTATCGTAGAGACGAGGTCTCACCAAATTGCCTAGGCTGATCTTGAACCCCTGGGCTCAGGCAATCCTCTTGCTCAGCCTCCCAAAGTGCTGGGATTACAGGTGTGAGCCACCGTGCCTAGCGTGGAATCTGTTTTTAATAACGCCCAGGTGACACTTGAATCAGACCCATTGGAGAATGGCTGCTTCTGTACCAGGTTGGGCTCCTGAAAAGATATGTCCCGGCTGTGTGTTTTTATCATGGGATTTTGTGTCCCCTTGATTTATTTGATCAATAATTGTGTGATTTTGAGTTGTCGTAAGTCCTCCTTCAGCTGCTGCTGGCTCCTGATTCCCTTTTTTTTTGTTGTTGAGTTGGAGTCTCACTCTGTTGCCCAGGCTGGAATGCAGTGGCACGCTCCTGGCCACCGCAACCTCGACCTGCTGAACTCCGGCGATCCTTCTGCCTCAGCCTCCCAAATAGCTGGAACTACAGACACACGCCACCATACCTGGCTAGTTTTTGTGATTTATTGTAGAAATGAGGTCTCGCCACGTTGCCCGGATGGGTCTCGAACCCACGGGCTAAGGCAATCCTCTTGCCTCGGCCTCCCAAAGTGCTGGGATTAGACTGAGCCACCGTGCTGGCCAACTCATGATTCTTAAACTCCCTCTCCCCAATCTTTCTGTTAACAAATCAACTTTCTATAAACCTGTATTTAAAAGCACTTGGGGGGCTGGATGTGGTGCCTCACACCTATAATCCCAGCACTCTGCAGGCCTAGGCAGGAGGATCGCTTGAAGCCAGGAGTTTGAGACTAACTTAAGCAACATAGCGAGACCCTGTCTCTACTCACAAAAAAATTTTTTAATTACCTGGGTGTGGTGGTGCATGGCTGTAGTCCCAATACTTTGCGAGGCTGAGGCAGGAGGATCACTTGAGCCCAGGAGGTTGAGGCTGCAGTGAGCTCTGATCGTGCCACTGCACTCCATCTGGGGTGACAAAGTGAGATTCTATCTCTAAAATAAAAATTAAAAAGTACTTGGCACCTCTGAAACTTAAAACCAGTTGGTGAAGAATCTTTCTGCCAAACAACTTATCACCACCCCTTGTAAGATACGCTTTCCCTGACCCCGCATGCTGACTCAAGCCTGTAATCCCAGCACTTTGGGAGGCCAGGACAAGAGGATTGCCTAAGTCCAGAGGTTCGAGACCAGCCTGGGCAACTTGACGAGGCCTCGTCGTCTCTACAACAAATCAAAAAATTAGCCAGATGTGGTGGCGCGTGCCTGTGGTTCCAGCTACTCGGAAGGCTGAGGCGGAAGGATCACCTGAGCCCAGCAGGTCGAGGCTGCAGTGGCTGTGAGTGTGCCACTGCACTCTAGCCTGGGTGACAGAGTGAGAATCCGACTCAAAAAAAAATGCGCTTTCCCAGGGAGGATCTGCCTCCAGCGCTGACTGGTGTGGGGTGGGGAAGGCTGCCTTGTGAGGGAAGACCAGGTTGGTCAGGGTCGCTTCGGCTCACACTCCCAGACCCATCGTGCCGGCTCCCACCAGCCTGAGGATGCGGGGTCATCATATGTTTATTCACATGGTCAGCAAAAAATACTTCGATGTCTGCTCAGAGCCAGACCCTGGCACATCAGATGAACAAGACACGGAAAGCACCACCCTCACGGAGCTTGGCTTTCTGGTGGAGGAGAGGGGCAGGAAACACGGGAATGTGAGTTAATAAGCGCAGGAACAGTGTGTGCTGGGGCAAAAAAAACAAACAGATGCAGAGAACCAGGAGGGACCATTTTGGTTTGGAGGTGCAGAGGAGGCCTCTGAAGAGATGTCTAAGGGAGCTAAGTCCTTGATGCCCAGGAAAAGGTGGGGGCAAAGATTTGGGGAAGAGAGAATGAGCTCAGCAGGTTTGAGGGCTGGAGTGGAGGCTGACTGGGAGAGGCAGGTCAGGGAGGCAGGCGAGGCCTCATCTTGGACCTTGGAGGCCAAGGGTGAGAGTTTGGATTTCATGCTTTAAACAAGAGGGAAGTCGTTCGATTTCTGCTATCAAAGATCACTGGGACGGCTGTGGGAGGGAAGAAGGGAAACGGGGGCGTTGGGGGTAGAGGCTGCGGCTGAAATCCACATACTAATAAATGGTGGAACCTCGGCTTGGGGGACGTGGAAGAGATGGGCGTGTGTTTGTACAGGGGTGCGGAGGTGTTCTCCAACCATTCTGAACTCTCTGGGCATTTTATCCATCAGTTTCCTCATTGTCCAATCAGACACCAGTCCAAGGAACAGATTTCATTGCATCACCTTAGAACCTCTCTCTTCCCAGACTATCAGGAAGTTCTTGGTGTCTACCCTTCCCCTCCGGGCTGTGATCTATTCATTGTTGAGAGAAGGACAAAGTGGGCAGAGACTCTGGGATCGAGGGAGTACTCAGCTGTACACCTGCTTAAGAAGCCTCCTTCTGGGAGGCCACAATAAAAACTGGAAATCCTCAGCACTTTGGTAGGCTGAGGTGAGAGGATTTCCTGAAGAACAGCCTGGACAACTTGGCAAGACCTCATCTCTACAATAAAGCAAAAAAAAAAAAAAAAATTAGCCAGGCATGGTGGCAATCGCCTGTAGTTCCAGCTACTTGGAAGGCTGAGGCGGAAGGCTCGCCTCAGCCCAGCAGGTCAAGGCTGCGGTGGCTGTGAGTACGCCACTGCACTCCAGCCTAGGCAACAGAGTGAGACTCCAACTCACAACAAAATAAAAACTAGAATCAAAGTCCGAATCCAGGTTAGACACCATGGGTGAGCTGCTGTTCTGTGTTAGTTTTCCTGCCTGTTCCCAAACCCAGCTCCAGCACCTGGCGCTCAGGTGAGCTCCTCAGACCTCCAGGCTTGGGATGCCTTTGACTGGACATCAAAGGGAGGGAGGAGGCATCTGTGTCCCCAGCCAGTGTCCCCTGCCTCCTACAATGGTTCCCTGCCCCCAGCATCATCCTCCTCCTCTCCCATTGTTGTCTCCCTGCCCTCTTGTTTTTTTTTTTTTTAAGTTGGAGTCTCACTCTGTCGCCCAGGCTGGAGTGCAGTGGCCGCTCCCGGCCACCGCAGCCTCGACCTGCAGGACTCTGGTGATCCTTCTGCTTCAGCCTTCCAAGTAGCTGCACCTACAGACGCATGCCACTATGCCCAGCTAGCTTTTGTGATTTTTTTTTTTTTTGTAGAGCCGAGGTCTCACCAAGTTGCCCAACCTGGTCTCAAACCCCTGGACTCAGGCAATCCTCTTGTCTCGGTCTCCCAAAGTGCTGGGATGACAGGCTGAGCCACTGCGTCCGGCCAACTGTCCTCTTTTTTGAGACAAATGAGGTCTCGCTATGTTGCCCAGGCGGATCTCGAACTCCTGGCCTCAAGCCATCCTCCCACCTCAGCCTCCTGAGAAACTGGGACTACAGGTGCGCACCACCATCACCCTGTGCTCACCTCTCCTAAACCTCCCTCTTTCCTACATCTCCTTTCCAGGCTCTAGAACTCATCCTTCCCAAGTCACCCGGGAGGCTGTTTAAAATGCAGATTCCTGTGCCCAGCCCAGATTCAGAATCTCCTCTTGGGTGAATCTGAATCCACAGGCTCCCACTGCTTGTAATGCTGGCCCATCCCAGATGTGACTGCTGGGAGTTCTGTGTAAACTTGGAGGGGTGGGGCTGTCTGCACTTTAGAAAAATGGAGGAAATGAAGACAGTGCGTCTCGGGAGACTCTGAAATCTGCCCAGACGGGTTCTGGGAACACACAGCCTTCCCTCCTGGGTCAGCAGAAGCCAGAGCTGAAGGGTTCTGGGACCTGGGGTGGCACGGCTTTTGGTCTAAAGAAGGCTGTTGTCCCCTTCTGGGCAGGTGCCAATCTGCAGGGCTGCAGCAAAGGGGCCTCCTGGGGGACCGTCGGCCTGGGCCCCCATCCCAGACTCACCTCTGACCTCTCTCCGCAGCTCAGGTACCAGACAGTGATGAGCAGTTCGTTCCTGATTTCCATTCAGAAAACTGTGAGTAGAGCCCTGGGAGAGGGCATGGGGAAGGGTGGAAATGTCGGACAGAAGATCACTGATCAGCTTTTCTCTCCTCAAGAAAAGGGCACGGTGGCTCATGCCTGTAATCCTAGCACTTTGGGAGCCAGAGGAGGGAAGATTGCTTGATCCTAGGAGTTTGAGACCAGCCTAGGCAACATAGGGAAACCTCAGCTCTACAAAAAATTAGGTGTGGTGGTGCGCACCTGTAGTCCCAGCTTCTTGGGAGGCTGAAGCAGAAGGATCGCGGAAGCCCAATAGGTCGAGGCTGCGGTGGCCGTGAGCGTGCCACTGGATTCCAGCCTGGGCAACAGATTGAGACTCCAGCTCAAAAACAGGAAAGAGAAAGGTGAAGGTCACATCTCATTCTTGGGTCTGGCTTCGAAGACCAGGGCAGTGACTGGGAGGTGAAGACTGGTTCAAATTTGGGGCTTGCCCTGTCAAACTGTGTGACCTTAGAGCAGACACTGTCTCTCTGGCCCTCTATGTAAGGCTTGGACCAGTTTATCAGGTCCCAGGCCCAGTTCTAATGTTCTAAGTTACTTTCATGGTGATTTCGCGCTCCCCAGGAGACATTTGGCAATGTCTGTAGACACTTCTGGTTGTCAAAACTGAGGGTGGGGTGCTACTGGCAGCCGACGGGTAGAGGCCAGGATGCTACTGAAAGCATCCTACAATGCTCAGGACAACCCCCCACAATGCACAAAATCATCTGGCCTAGGCTGAGCGCAGTGGCTCATACCTGTAATCCCAGCATCTTGGGAGGCCGAGGAGGCCAGGAGCTGGAGACCATCCTGGGCAGCATAGTGAGACCCGTCTCTGAAAAGTAAAATAAATAAATACATTACCCGGACCAAATGCAATGGTGCCACTGTTGAGAAACTCTGCTTGAATGTCAGATGTTTTGCTCTCAAGTGTCTTCACCGAAGAAATGAAACAGGGCACGAAGAATCAAAAGAGCAGAGCGCAGAGCAGTGGCGTACAGGCAGGGCCGTCTGCCCGGGCCGCGGGAAGACTGAGTCTCACCCTTGGCTTGGAACCACCTCTGCTGCTCAGTCCTGTGGCTGGAGTTTGGGGACCCAGCAGGGGCCACAGGAAAGGCCAGTGTTCTTCCCAGAGAACGAGGAGCTTGTGTCTCACGGGGTTCAGCTGACATTCAAGCAGGCTGATCTCCAACCTTAACCAGAAAAAGAAAGATGCTGTATATCCCCAAATAAGCACACATTTCCCTTCCTTGGAGTTTTCTAAGGTGTTCAGGAAAACCACAGGCCCAAGGTTGGAGGCACTCACCCTTCCAACGTGTTCCGTGGGGTTTGGGGTTGTGTTCAACGTTGAACTTCAGAAAGTTTCTCTGACTGATTTTGGGCGTGGGTCGGATGTGTAGAACGAGACGTCACGTGACGTGTTCTTAGAGTGACTCTGGGTCTCAGAAAGCCGACATGCGGGGAGGGGAGGGGAGGCCGGGTGGCCACCCAGCCAGCACCCAGGGGCAGAAGCTGTTGGGAGCCCTGCCTGCCTCCCGTGACAAGTTCTGGTCTTCTCTGCCCCCTCAGTAGCGTTCCACAGTCCCACTACCAGGATCAAGAAGGAGCCCCAGAGTCCCCACACAGACCCAGCCCTGTCTTGCAGCAGAAAGCTGCCACTGCCCTACCACCATGGCGAGCAGTGCCTTTATTCCAGGTGAGCTCCGGCCTGACCCTGGTGAAGGGTGAGCAAGAACACCAGGAGGATGAGGTGCTCTGGGGTTGGGGAGGTGGGAGGCCGGCAGGCGTCGTGGGCACGCCGGCAGCAGTCGAGGTGCAAGTTAGACAACAGAAAGGACTTCCTGGCTGCTGTAAGGGAACAAAACAGCTGGTTTTCCTCTGTCAGGATGCAAAGTGGAGCAGAGGGCCTCTGGGTGCATGTCAAGGCCACAGCAGTCTGTTTTCACTCAAAGGACCCCTGTCTCACCCAAGCCAGTTGCTTTGGGCTGGGGAGAGGCGTTCTCAAGATTAGGCCCTGGCCGGGCTCGATGGCTCAGCCTGTCATCCTAGCACTTTGGGAGGCCGAGGTGAGTGGATTGCCTGAGCCCGCAGGTTCGAGACCAGCCCAGGCAACTTGGGGAGACCTCATCTCTACAATAAATCAAAAAATTAGCCGGGCGTGGTAGTGCGCGCCTGTAGTTCCAGCTACTTGGAAGGCTGAGGCGGAAGGATCGCAGGAGCCCAGCAGTCTGGGCGACAGAGTGAGACTCCAACTCAAAAAAAAAAAAGATTAGGTCCGAATTCAGACTTGATGGAAGGAGAAAGAGAATCCACCTGAGGCTGAGTCTGTGGCTCCTGCCGTTGCCTCTGGCCTTCTTCCATACTCTGCCGTGCCCTCCCTTCCCTGGGGATGAAGGGCTCAAAGACGCCTCCCAGCTCCTCTGTCTCCTCACCCCTGTCTCCCCCACAACTCCAGTGCCTATGACCCCCCCAGACAAATCGCCATCAAGTCCCCCGCCGCCCCCGGACAGTCGCCCCTGCGGCCCTTTTCCCGGGCAGAACAACGGAGTTTCCTGAGATCCTCCGGCCCCTCCCAGCCCCACCCTGGCCACGGGTACCTCGGGGAACACAGGTAAGGAGACAGGGAGACCCACGGCCTATGGGCCCAGCCTCGCCAGTTTTTCCTCAAGCCCCAATGTTCTCCATAGAGACCCAGTGGAGGGAGGCGGGGAGGAAGGGAAACTGGCGCCCTTCCCCCCATCACACTCCAGAGCCTACCCGCAGCCTGGGAGCGACAGGCTCTGGGGGGCTCACTGCGGACTCTCTTCTCTCCCCCTCCGACCACACCCAGCTCTGTCTTCCAGCAGCCCCCGGACGTCTGCCACTCCTTCACATCTTCTCAGGGAGGGGGCCGGGAGCCCCTCCCAGCCCCCTACCAACACCAGCTGTCTGAGCCCTGCCCGCCCTACCCCCAGCAGAGCTTCAAGCAGGAATACCACGATCCCCTATACGAGCAGGCGGGCCAGGGTGGGGTCAGTGGGCACAGGTACCCAGGGGCGGGGGTGGTAATCAAACAGGAGCAGACGGACTTCGCCTACGACTCAGGTAAGAGGCTGGGGGCGGGGAGGGGGGCGCGAAGGAACGTCTGTGGGCTTGCCAGGTGGGCTGGCACGGGGCCAGACGCAAGGTTCCAAGAGCTTTTTGCCTTCCTGTCCATCTGTTTGCCGTTCCGTACATCCAACCCACCCACTCACCTTTATTCATAGTTTCAAAAAATTGTCATTTTTCAATCAGCAAATTTATCCAAAGGTTGGGGGATGTATGTAGATCCCGCCCTCAGGTCGCTTGTGACTTATCAGGAAAGATAATAAGGCCTTGCTTTGTATTTAGCAGGTGGTTGAGGGTTTAATGACCTACTAAGACCACACCACTGTGACAGGAATAGGAATGTGAGGAGTTGAAGGGCGCAGGGATGAATAGGATGTGCCACTGGTCCCTGTCCCTAGAGAAGTTTAAAAATACAAAGGGATTTGAATGAAGAGGACCGTGAACTTGAAACTAGCCAGGCTTATCCTTCCCGCTAATATGTGGTTTCCACGACCTGTTTGAGCCTCTGGTTGATGGGTGGTCCAGCAGCCAGGCCCGAGCTGAAGCGGAAGCAGGGGCTGCTGTAATTTTAGTTCCACCTGGCTGTTGACCTGAGGGAGACGCACTCAGCCGTGTTCAGGAATAGCTGTAGTTCAAGGCACCATGCACCGAGGGAGGGCTGTGCTCAGTTAGGAGGGGCCCAGGAAACACAGCCTTCTCTTTTCTTCTGGCCCTTGTGACGTTGTTATTAGCTTCAAATCTGAGTTATCTGTAAACTTGCATTGGAAAAATAAATTCGGAGGCCAGGTGTGGTGGCTCAAGCCTGTAATCCCAGCACTTTGGAAGGCCAAGGTGAGAGGATTGCCTGAGCCCAGGAGTTCGAGACCACCCTGGGCAACTTGGTGAGCCCTCGTCTCTACACTAAATAAAAAAATGAGTTGGGTGTGGTGGTGTGCACCAGTAGTTCTAGCTATTTGGAAGGCTGAGCCCAGCAGGTCAAGGCTGCAGTGGCCGAGCATGCCCCTGCACTCCAGCCTGGGTGGCAGAATGAGACTCTGACTCGAAAAAAGAAAAACAATAAATTCAGGCCCTGTGCAGTGGCTCACCCCTGTAATCCCAACACCCGAGGAGGCCAAGGCAGGAGGATCGCTTGAGCCCAAGTAATGTGAAACCAGCCTGAGCAACATAGCAGGACCTCTCCTCTACAAAAAAATAAAATAAAAAAATCAGCCAAGCATGGTGGCACGTGCCTGTAGCCCCAGCTACTCAGGAGGCTCAGGCAGAAAGATCGCTAGACCCCAGGAGGTCAAGGCTGCAGCGAGCTGTGATTTTGTCACTGCACTTCAGCCTGGGCGACAGAATAAGACCTGATCCACACACACACAAAATTCAGGTTAGCGTAGGCTCAGAGCCGGCTACAACTTGAGAATTTTTCTTTTCCTGGTGCCCGCAGTCTTTCAGGGCAGGGCATGGACCACAGACCCCAGGCTGCGCGGGTGGGAACCGGATGGGTGCTTCTGTCCTTAAGTGCAGGATACCGGCTGAGCCTGGCTTGGCAGGGAGCAGGGAGAGGAGGAGGAGGGAGGCGCTCTCGCCACGACCTTCGCAGGCTGCGCGCCGGAGGAGTGGATCGTGTTACTTGCCCTTGAATTCCCGCCCCTCCCCCCGGCGCCTCCCGAATGGAGTCGGGAATTCCATTCACAAAATGGAGGCACGAGTGCGCCCACCCTCCTGCCGCCTCCCAGAGGTGTCGGGTTTCGCCGGCGCCTCGTTCATAGGTGGGAGTGATGGGAGTGCGGGCGGGGCGGGGCGGGGTTGGAACTGGACCGCGTGGCCTCACGTAGCCGCCTTTAGGTGGCTGGGGAGGTTTCTGCCCTACGGAGTGGAGCGGAACGTGCCCTGCTGAGCGCCTGGAAAGGCACGGCCCCAGCCCGCCTCTTCCCCCGATGGCGCAGGCGAGCGCCGGATGTTTCTGCCTGTCCCTCACACGCTCAGGGCCGGGAACCTGACCTGCAGACCGGACGCTTGCCCACTCCGGGGAGGCTCAGGACACCCGACACTCTCCCCGGAGGCTCATCTCACCCCCTCCTCCCCCTGAGCTCAGGAAGCAGCTGCTCCCTGGAATCCTGGGCCTTGTGAACACGGCGCCCGGTCCGGTCGCTGCCAGGCCTGCCCTGCCCTCTGCCCCAGCTCTCAGCCCAGGGGCTGGAGCCTCGCGCTCCCTCTGGGCGGACTTCCCCTGGGGTTGGGTGGGCAGCTCCCAGGAAGGGAAGTCACTGGAAAGCAGGCTGGCAGGAAGAAGCTCTTGGATTTGTGCAGAACTTTCCCCTCCCTGTCCCCAGCCCGGCCTCAGCCACCTGTAATGTTGCCCTTTCCTCCCCACAGATGTCACGGGGTGCGCCTCAGTGTACCTCCACACAGAGGGCTTCTCCGGGCCCTCTCCAGGGGATGGGGCCATGGGTAAGGTATCCCCTTTCTGCCCCTGCCAAGCCCTCCACGTTGTGGGAAGGAACCACGCCACGGGGGAGGGTCTCCCTGGCCAGGAGTCCCTCCGGACTCATTGGGGAGCTCCAGGCCTGAGTGTCCCCCAACTTCCCCCACAAGGCTATGGCTACGAGAAACCTCTGCGGCCCTTCCCGGACGATGTCTGCGTCGTCCCTGAGAAATTTGAAGGTCAGAGGAGCAGCTGTTCGTGGGACGGTCAGGGTGTGCTCCACGTGCTCTGGCTGTGCTGTGTCCCTGCAGGAACCACGGTGCACGTCACTGTCTCGAGAGGGGGGACCACATGGGAAGGGGCCTGAGGAGACGCCCCGGGGATGGGGAAAGGGGCATGGGGGATCAGGGGCCCACAAACCCCGTGCTCTATTTCCGTGTTCCCCAGGAGACATCAAGCAGGAAGGGGTTGGCATGTTCCGAGAGGGGCCCCCCTACCAGCGCCGGGGTGCCTTGCAGCTGTGGCAGTTCCTGGTGGCCCTGCTGGACGACCCCACGAATGCCCATTTCATTGCCTGGACGGGCAGGGGGATGGAGTTCAAGCTCATTGAGCCCGAAGAGGTGGGCCCCTCCCGTGTCCTCCCTTCCACCAATGGCCGTGGGGCCAGGAGAGGACATGGGGTGTCTTGACCCTCCCCAGTCCTTGCCTGGACTCTTACCACACCCGAGCCTGGGGCTTAGCCGCAGGCCAGCTTAGCACAACGTGCAGAATTTCAAGTGCTCTTTCAGACCCGACTCCCACTTTTTCAACTCTGTTGAGGCAGCGCCTCCACCCCAAACTGTTGTTTCCAGGTCGCCAGGCTCTGGGGCATCCAGAAGAACCGGCCGGCCATGAACTATGACAAGCTCAGCCGCTCGCTCCGATACTACTATGAGAAAGGCATCATGCAGAAGGTGGGGCTGAGGGTCCAGGCCCAGGGCAGTGGTGGCAGTGGGGGTGGTGGAGCAGTGGCTGTGGGAGGGTGATGGGGGGATGGCAGGAGCACTATCAGCCAGTCTGTAGAAGCAGAGGAAGAACCAGTCAGGCCAGGAACGGTGGCTCATGCTTGTCATCCCAGCAGTTTGGGAGGTGCAGGAGAGAGGATGGCCTGAGCCCATGGGTTCGAGACCAGCCTGGGCAACATGGCGAGGCCTCGACTCTACAGAAAATCGAAAAATTAGCTGAGCATGGTGGTGCACGCCTGTAGTTCCAGGTACTTGGAAGGCTGAGGTAGAAGCATCGCCTGAGCCCAGCAGGCCGGCGCTGGGGTGGCTCTGAGTGTGCCGCTGCACTCCAGCCTGGGCGACAGAATGAGACT